TGTTTCATAAATTATATATATCTAAAATTATTTATAGCATTTCAATAGATAAATTTTTATAGTAACTGTTTGTAATATTTGTTAGATTCCGAAATTATTACTGGATGCGTACCTTCATTTCGACAAGTATGAAACAGTACTGCGATCTACAAACAGAAAGATGGGATGTCGCATTAACGGACACTGCGTGCGTACTGTGAGTGCGTTAACCGGATATCCGGTTTAAGTCCAATGAAATATTAAAGTGAAAATAACAATAAACAAACTCTGTACAAATTTGTAAACAAATCATATTAATATTTATGTTTATATAGTAATTACTTAAAACTTAATTTTTTAATGTTAAATTAGTTCATCAACGAATTATATTTCTCTAACAGACAGATGTGATGAAAATCAATAACATTTTTTTCAAATATTTAAAACCACTAATGTGTACGTACATTACATAGAAAATATATAAATACAAGAAAAACGTTATTGTTTCTTTATTTTTAAAAGATAAGTAAATATCCAAATATTTTATCAAAAGTATTATTTATATTGTTGTCTATTAGAAAGAACTAGGTTTTTAGTTCTGGGATAGTTCTTTGGAAAAATTGGATTTTTTGCTTGAGTACATGAGTAAATAACATTATTATAATAGATTGATCGTATATGACGATATATGAATAATGGATAAATAAATCGAGAGTAGAATCGCGTTTTACGCGTAATAAGCTGATTTACACTATGGCAATAACTGACATTTTGTAGAAAGAGAAAGAATAGCGATAAGTTGTTTTTATTAATGTATTTTCAGTCCTATTCATACATATGATTATAATATAATGATTAAATCATTATTTTGTACTTCATTAAAATTTTAAATTATATCATCAACAATATTTACAGTAAATAGGGAAATTAAAAATTAAATTCATAATAGACTTTTCATTGATCAATCAATGATAACATCAATAAAATTGTTACTTAGTGTACAAATAATGAGGTTATGTAGATTATGCTTATATATAGTGTCTATCCAACGAGACGAGGCAGTAAACGTAAACATTATTTGACTGCTACAGATTATACATACTTTATCTACAATCTACATATGTATCTCTGTATATATTATTCGCAATTGCAGAGTTAGGTTCATTATCGAATATTAAATAGGATATGGAATATATTGTGATGTCTTTATATAAAAAATGTACGTGAAATTAAAGCAAAAAGTATCAGAAAAAAGATTATTTTGCTGTAAACATGGAGTAAAAAATTCTACCGAATTTAATAAATTTAGGATCTGCTAGAACTAAACTTTAGTACAATGTTAAGAAATTAAATTTGATATTCGTCTTAAAATAGGAGTACTATTAAAATTACCGTTGATGTTGCTAAACACTATAACTCGGCCTAGATCACTTCAGAATCTTTAAAAATTATTAATTAATTAAAATGATAAGCCTCTACCTACGTATATGCTGTATAAATTTAAATGAGTATAATAGTGAGTAAATGAATATTACGAATATGGAACATATAAGTGAGGTCAACAAAGTATTACAACATATTTATACACAATTTATTAGTTTCATATTGTATTAGATCGTATCATTGCAGTCTTTTACTTCTGAATGGTAGGTGCAGACTGATTGGATGATTTGGAATCTCGCATAGAAGCGCTACGTCTTCGCTTTAGTTCTTCTTGACGTCTATTCTTAGCTTCCTTTTGCCGTTGTGCTAACAGCTTCGCATACTCTGCTGCTTGTTGCTTGCGAGCCAAGCAACGCCTCCTCTTTAGAGCCAGTCTATGCCTCTTTCTCTATATAAACATATTTTTATTTTATCATAAACTCCTTACTTTTGGAAAATTTTAACTGAAACAAAACAACAATACAATATAAATACATATATGTACAAACCTGGAGTGTAAGTGGGGTAATAAGACGTTGAATTTTAGGGGCTTTCGACCGCTGTGGTTTGCCCTCTTTTTGAATTGGTCGTTTCACAACGAATCGACGGACATCATCTTCCTTGGATAAATTAAATAGCTTGCGAATTTTGCTCGCCCTCTTGGGTCCTAAACGGCGTGGGACTTCCTTGTCAGTTAAATCCGGGATATCCTGTAAGAATTTAATCAACTTATACATTAAATGCTTCTTAGCATTGAAAATGTTCTTTAACATGTTCACGTGGGCGCTGCTTTTTGTATTTCTCGCCGTGGGACAGCGCTTATATGGATTATTATTTGAAGGCCACATGCAGTTTATAGATAGCTATTATACGAGTGTCCCTTTGGTTGAAGAACATTTGCAGAAAAAAACATTTATTTGTGGTACTGTAAAAATAAACAAAAAATTTCTACCGCCACAGGCGATACAAAAACAAAAACGGGATCACATTGTGAGTTTTGAAAATCGTAGCAGAGTTAAATTTTTTAAATGGACTGACAAAAGACCAGTTTATATGTTTACTACTTCCAAGAATCACATGTGTACAATTATTCAAGGAAAAAATGACGAACTAAAGCCTGATGATCTTTTTTATTATAATACAAAAAAGGGTGATGACTTATCCTATCAAATGACATCGTACTATAGTTGTTTATGGAAAACCGTTAAATAGTACAAAAAAATTATTATACAATTAATGTGAGGGACTTGCCTCGTACTTTTGTGGTACATGTATCAAAGACGATGTAATAAAGATATTAATATTTTGCAATTTAGAGAAAAAAATTATTGTTCATCTTTGATCAATAATCACCACATTGCAGAAATGGCTATTGAAAAGCAAATACCTTCACAAAATGTTCACATTTTCTCCATTCACATAAAGGGTCTGTAAGAAAGTCAAGATGTAAGGAATGTTACAAATGCTTATATAAAAAAACATTAGATTAGAGACTATGTCACGAAAAAAAACTAAAAAAGTAACGATATATTGCAATCGTTGTGAGAGCCAGCTAGCACTTTGTTTGAAATGCTTCTAAAAATTGCATAGAAATATATAAACAATTAAGTTAAGTTTATAATATTGAATTGCTGTGTTTACTATCGAATTTTTCTTTTATACGTTTATAATATTAAGATGAAATAAAATAAATCCTACTTCTTTTTTATTTAATAGGTGTTAAATTTCCGTTTAAGTTTTCAAATATTTCAAATGGCGACTTTTTCTAGTTACTAAACGAACTACATTTTCAATGGTACACACCATCTGATGGAACATCCAAAAGTGGGTCAGGTGCACGCCGCCTGATGTGAAAATCGAGCGCGAGCCACCGGTGGTACGCGCCGGCGTGAACGTCTTAATAACTTAACTCACTGATCATTACAGCCATAGAAATGTTGACTTTTAGTGTATCGCTTGTACACTGAGAAAAAGTGTAAATTATATAACACAGTCTCCCAAATCAACACGATAGTTAATCTTCCATGTTTACGATAGTATCGTAAGATAATAAGTCAATTCTAAGATACACCCTGAAACATGGATTATAGATAGAAAGTACAGTCAAATTAATACCTTTTCTCCTTTTTTGACAATGACAAGAGCAAGTACTGAAAGGTTGGAATCGACGATGCATCCACGGACAGATTTACGTTTGCGCTCACCATCCCGTCTAGGTCTGTAGCATGAATGTCCTTTTGAGAGCAGTAAACGTACACGCCCTAGATACAGGAATTTTTAAAAAATTAAAATCAATGCATTGTACCAAATCTATAAAATTCATAAACACATGAAGTTGTTACAAACGAAATTAAAATAGAAAATGCTTGTGTTACCATTAGTCAGAACACCCTGTTTCATAGGAAATCCTTGTTTATCATTGCCGCCTGAGATACGAACGACATATCCTTTCCATTCGTTACCAAGAGCATCAGCCTCTACTTCTGCGCCCATACGCTTTTCATAAAAAATTCTCAGCTTATGCTCATCGGAGATTTCAAACAGTTTCTGACATCCTGTTGCAGGATATGATACGTTCAACTAGAAAACACATAAATATCATACAGAATATGCAAAGATTTAACAGCTTTTGTCAGTTTATTCAACGTACATAATCAAATAAAAAATGTTCTATATACATAGCTGCATAAAGCTTTATTAAAAAGTTAGAACAAAAATTCAAATTACAAGGGGAATTGTAAGAAACTCGTGATTACTATGCTATAAAATAACAGTAGATATATCACTTTGTAATAAGACTTCAATTGACTTATATTTATAAAGCATATTTTCCTTGATAATAGCCATAAAATATATTCACAAAGGTCAGCCGTTTATACTTGTACAGTGACATATAAGTTAAACGTCTAAGACATTTTAATGATGTTATGCTTACTTTCATAGTATAATAATGAAAATTGTAAATTTTAATGTTTCATATGAAGAAAATTTAGCTTCTGGCCTTATGATGTAAGTTCCAATAGTGCGTGCCATAAGCAATAACAAGGTTGGTCAAATGTCGAACCATTTCACAATTTGACTGAGTGTTCGAAATTGTGCAAATGGTTCATGTCTTTTTGTAAATGCATGTGTAAGGCACAATTAATTTTATTTTGCAGGATGTTTGATAAATAAATACTACCAACTGATCATTGGACAAGCAAGATTTATTATCTTGAAGTCAATAATAAATCAATAACATTTTTATTACAATTCCTAAAGAAACATATGTTTTAAATTATGAATGTCTTAATAAAATTTATAAAAATTTAATAATCTTCAGTTGTGTGGTATCTTTCAAAGCATATTGGTACATGTAATGCAACTTTACATCTTTTGCATTCCCACGTTGTTTCACTACGTTTTTTATGTTTTGTGCAAACTTTACAGGCTCTTGATGGCTTTGATTTCGATGGTGTTGGATCTATATGCTTGGGAAAATGACCCCAATGTTTCCCGTGCAGTCTCTCTGGTAAATCTCCATTCGATAATCGTCCTTTTCGTTTATACTCTGGTAATGGTATATTTTTTAGTAATGATTGGGCTATTTCAATTCTATATTCAGCATAAGTCTGTTTTTTGTTAGTATCTATTTTGTTGAATAAAATATACGAGTTAAACAGAGCAATATCAAAGAGGTAAAAGAAAACTTTTCGGCATCCTTTCATACATTTCCTCATCACAGGAAAGCACGCTAGCATTCGGTCTTGCCGGTCAATTCCAATCATTCCTTTATTGTACTCAATGACACATCTTGGTTTTGAAGTACAATTGAATTGATTCTTTTCTGCTTCAGTCATTTCTGCTGTTTCGTGTTTTGAAGAAAGAATATAAATGTCTCGTATATCCTTCCATTTTAATGCCAATATTCCATTGCAGCTTCTTATTATATATTCACCCTTTTTTAATTTTACTTTACAAAAATCTTTTGGCATATTATTTCTGTTCGAGTGCACTGTTCCAACAACATTAGTTTTACTGTTAATTAAAGTTTTAAACAGTTTTGGAGAACAATTGCTTAAATATAAAGTATGTCCTTTATGTAATATTGACTGTGATAGCTCTTTGACAATACTTTCAGATGCACTGTCACCAGAATTTATTTTATCACTACTAGTGTATATTTTAAGATCATAGCAATAACCTGATTTTGACTCACATAATTTATAAAATTTTATACCAAACCCTTCTGACGGATTAAATTGTTTGTAGGATAAGTGTCCCTTATATTTCATCAATGATTCATCGATAGTAATGTTCTCTTGCATTGTATATACTTCTTTAAATCTTTGATTCAAAAAATTTATTACAGGTTTTATTTTATATAATTTATCTGTATTGTTAACTGAATTGTTATCTGAAAAATGCAAACACCTAGTTATTTGCAGAAATCTTTTGAATGGCATTGTTTTTCTGAAAATTGGAGTTTCTATAACTGCTTTCTTAGACCAATTCATTTGAATTGTTGGTTTTTTAACTTCAGCCATTATTATACATAGTGCAAAATATATTTTGATTTCACCACTGTCTACGGGAAACCAAGTTTTATCTATTTTTAGTCTTTTATTTTCATTGTTCATTATTTGGTTTGCGTATTGATTCGTCTCCGTGACAATATTTTCCCAAAATATATTATCAAATATTATATTAAAAAAATCTAATTCTTTTTTGTTTTCACCTAACTGATTCAAAATTGCCACTTTTATGCCAGGAATCTCTGTATAGTTCCAGATTTTTGGATCATTAGTTTCTTCTTTCCAAATCCATAGCTCTGATTGTTGATGATTACTGTGGTCTTCATCGTCGGTATCATCTTCAATAATCAGTCGCTTACAACGTTTTCGTACAGGAAGTGAAATATCACTACTGTCACTATCACTATTTAAAGTATCTATCAAATCACTTTTTGCAATGCTAGCTGAATTTTCAATGTCCTCAACAACGCTTAATATTCTTTTTGAAGACATTTTTGAGGGTACCTTTCTAATATT